ACCCTATGTATGTCCAAAGAAGTCAGTGTTGGTAGACCATTTATCTTAATGATCACAACGATCATTTTAGGTCTTTTAAATGTGTTTGAGAATCTTAAATCATAAGATTCCTCATGTTGAGTTTGGTCTATGGAAGTTATTTTAAGACCTTCACTAAAAGTGAGGTCAACACTCTTAAAAATTACTTTTCAAAAAAAAAATTATAAAGTTTTAAAATTGACATCATAAATTGTTATCGAGCTATCTATAAGCATATTAAATGATCATTAGCATAAAAAATATGGTGATGATGATATTATGTGTTAGACCAACTTTGAGTCTGATTAACTTTGAGGATTAAAGAAAATATCAAAAAGACTTCAGTGAAATATAAATATTATAAGTGTGTTCCAAATTTAGTAATCTAAATGTTAGCTTTCATTGCAAAAAAATTAAGATCATATTTATAAAACATAGAAAAAAGAAATAAATACTGTCAAAAATAAAATAGACCAAATTACTTTTATCCTACAAAATTATTTTTAATATTAATTTTGCATTAGGTATGATTTTGTTATTACTAACACTTTATTCAAGAAAGAGATGAACATCTTATTACTTATAAGAATAAATCTAATAAAACACAAATTGATTATTTTCTTATGAGAAAAAGAGATCGTCGAGATTGTAAAGTCATTCCAAGTGAGCATTTAAGTACCCAACATCGATTATTAGTTCTAGATTTTAAGATGAAGAATTATAAAATAAGGAATACTAGGAATCATCATCCTAAAATTAGACAGGGGAACCTAAAAGACACAGACAGAATTATTTTTATGAGTAAAATTCAAGATTTCAAAATTTGAGATGTTCATGAAGAAACGAATGTTATGTGGGACAAAGTAACAAACTGTTAAACAAATAACAAAAGATGTACTTGGAGAATCAAAACGAAAAGTTTCTATAAATAAAAATAGTTGGTGCTGGAATAATAATGTGGAAAAAAAGATAAAATATAAGAAGATATGTTATAAAAATTGATTTAAACGTAAAATTTTTGAGAACTAAGAAAAAAACCAAACGGCCAGCAGGAGTCTAAAAGAAAATTCTGTAACACTATAAATTCTGATTTTAATGATCTTTATAACAAATTAGATACTAAAGAAGCTGAAAAATATATGTATAAACTAGTCAAACAAAGATAAAAGAAAAGTAAAGATTTACCTCAAGTAAAATGTATCAAAGATGAAAATCAAATGAAGTTTCTGAAAATACGATCGACCTTAGTGATCTTAATATCATTAATAATAATAAAACGTTTCATTTTTATCATCACATTAGTAAAAAAGAAGTTGAGGAGGAGGAAACTTTAAAGAAAACTAAGGGTGGAATGTCTGTAGGACCTGATGATATCCCAATTGAAGTGTGGAAATATTTAGGAGATTTGGGAGTTTCTTAGGAAATTTGGGAGTTTCTTGCCTTACAAAGCTCTTTAATATTATTTTAAAAACTAAAAAGATGCCTGAGGAGTGAAGGATAAGTATTTTAGTCCCCATTTTTAAGATAAGGGGGATGCACAAGAGTGTACAGATTATAAAGGAATTAAGTTGATCTGTCATACTTTAAAATTATGGGAAAGGGTAACTGAACATAGGTTAAGGCGTATTACAAAAATTTCTCGTAATCCATTTGGATTTATGCTGGGCAAGTTTACCATGGAAGCTATACATTTATTGAGAGGTTTGATGGGGAAGTTCAGAGATAATAAGGAGGATCTACATTTGATTTTTATTGATTTAGAAAAAGCATACGATAAGGTTCCAAGAGATATTCTTTGGAGAGTTCTTGAGAAGAAAGGTGTTGAAATGACTTATATTCAAGTCATTAAAGATATGTATACTAGAATTGTTACTTGTGTTCAAACTGAAGACTAATTATTTTCCTATTTCTGTTGGATTACATCAGGGATCGGCTTTAAGCCCATATCTTTTTGCTTTAGTTATTGTGATCTTACTGGACATTTACAGGAGGATGTACCTAGGCGTATGTTTTTTGCTGATGATATCCTTCTCTTGGATAAGAGGAGAGAAAAAACTCAGGAAAAACTTGAATTATGGAGGTCTACATTGGAGTCTAAAGGCCTTCATTTGAGTAGAACTAAAGCAGAATACATGGAATGTAATCTTAGTAGTAGTAGCTCTAGTGAAAGAAGTGTAACTTTGGGCGTTCAGATTATTAAAAGATGTGAACGATTTAGATATCTCGGGTCTGTTGTTCAAAGCGATGGTGATATAGATGGGAATGTTAATAGTAGAATTCAAGTTGATTGGTTGAAATTGGTTGAAGGTTGAGGTGGAAGAATGTTTCGGGCCTATTGTGTGATAGAATAGCATCGCTTGGATTGAAATGAAAATTTTATAAGATGGTGATGAGACTTGCAATGCTCAATGGCGTTGAATGTTGGGCTTTAAAAGAGAAGCATAATATTAAATTAAGTGCTGCCGAGATGAGTGATTAGGTGGATGAGTGGCTTTACACTTAGAGAAAATGCGAAATGATTATCTACGTGAAAGGGTTGGTGTAACTCCAGTGACGGACAAAATAAGAAAGAGTCGTCTTAGATGGTTAATACATGAAAAATTGGATTGTACGATCTATTTAAGTTAGCTGTTAAATTATCCATTGCAATGCATTAAATACTTCGAACTTGTCATATATAAATTGTAGTATAATATATAGCATATATTATAATGATCACACAGTACTTTGACAATATGATCTACCCAAAAAATTCCTAATTTTGACTGATTTCTCAATATAAACAATTAATGATTAATTAAGATAATTATAACTTCTATATACTAGTTGGTCAATTTTTTTATAGAACTATTGGCTATGTATACCTAAGAGCTTCACAAGAAAATCATTAATGCATAAACTAAAAAAGAGCTTATATTGTCAAACTTTTTGGAGAGAACTTAAAAAAATGTAATGTTTATCATCACTTCATAACTCTTCTTACAACTTATAAAGTGTTCTTTCTCATTCTTAATTTACATATTATCTGATCACTATCTAATTGTCTTCATCTTGCAATCAAATTTTATAAGAACTCGTGTAAACTATAGTTATAGTTGATAGCCATTGAGTTCATCAAATCAAATAAGATATAGTTGATTTTACATATAATTTTTATTATGTAGCAAACTGTGCGTGTTGCTGTAGGTTTCTCACATTTAAGTACTAATATTTTGATCGAGTGGAGAGGACTACAAGTGATAAGTTACTCTCTTGGAAGGAAAGTTGTGACTTATTAGAGACAATAGGGAGTAGTAAACCTCTCATTTTAAAGTAGAAGTGCAGGGTGGATCACTATTACACGTTAAAAAACAGTTATTGTAAAAAAATTCCGTTGCCTATTCAAGAAGTGAAGAAAAGAAGTTTGTGATAGCATCCATTAATAAGGATTCTAGTGCTGAGTAGGGCTAGGCAATAATGTAAAGTAAAAGATGGTCAAACAATGCAAATATCGATCAACAACATCCAATCACACTATAATTCAATTTATTTTGATATAATATTACTTTACATTTATATGCTTTCATGGCCATGTGGTAATCTAATTGACTAATGATCCATGTCAAATCGTTGAGTAAATATAATTACTATGCTCAATTAGTATACTATTCATTCTTGTGCATAATTACATTTATATCACTTTTATATGTTATTCTTGACACTTGTGTCTTCGTGTATGTAAATAATAGCTCATAAGTTTATGAAAGATACCAAACACTTAAAATTGGTCTATAATTACTTTACTTGAAAGAGACTAATCTTTAAAATTAAATGCCATACACCTAATTTTATATCTAAATAATATATTAGAAATATTATTATTATCTTTAATATTACTATACTAACTTTTATTGTTGCATACTCAGCTCTTAAATTTTATATTAATTGAAAAGGTTTTAAGTTAAAATATTTTGAAAGAGAGAGCATAATTATAAGCATCACTTCACGCCGAATTTATTCTCCCACTTATGGTGAGTGTTCAACTTATAAAAAAACCAAAATAAAAGATGCTTGTCCAAGCAGGATTTAGCTTGACTGTTAACATGTGTGTCATAGTTATGGTTAGCGTAGGAGTTCTATCAAGCTGTTGTGCGTGGATGAATCAAAATTTAAACAATAATGGCCACCTTTCTGATGAATTTATTTGAGTAAGAAAAATTCTCAATTTCCCATTCTAGCAAACTGAGTTTGTCATAGCAAATAAGATCAAATGTCGATGCCTAAAATACAGGAATTCTACACATGTAATGATGAAAGATCTATGTTTATCAAATATGTTCACTACGTAACTCATATGGAGAATCATCATCACATAGTCAACTCTTCAAGTCTATGCCATATATAACTATGATAACGGATGTGTACAGATCATATATTACGAAGGAAGATATGGTTGACAATGAGAGTAAGAAATCATAAAAAGATATCAAGAGGCCTTATATTACCAATGCTTCAGCCCACCAAAGTGACAAATAGCCTTGATAGACAGTATACTTCCAAACGTCTAATTGCAATATAGATTATCGACTTGAACAACAAATTAATTTATTTAAACCCATAATAAGTTTCCTTGTCGTCATAATCATCTTTACCATTTTCCCATTATTTGGTGTTGGATTTGCAAATCATTTCTCCATTCATTCCAAACAAATGCTACTTTTTAAGTTCAGACTATTTTACATAAATCTTAAAATTTTCCAGGAGTTATTTGAGGAAAATTATCTCCAATTTCTTGTCAATTTGATTTGCTTTTCACCAAGTGAACACTTAAAAGACATAATATGCTTATCTAAAAAATATGCTCAGCATAAAATACGAATTAAAAAACCATTAATTCGATACTTTCAGAAAGGATATAATATGTTTTCAATAAAGCTCAGCAGGGAAAAAAAATACAGATACATTGCCCAGATAATAGAGCTAACCATCATAAAAAGGCATACCTCAATGGATGCTTGGCAGTGCTTTTTTGCATGCTCAAACTGACCAATCATAGCAAAGGTTTCTGCAACATTATCTTCAGCCTGTAGTGTCATCAATTTTGCACATTAGGTCATGTCAACCGATTATAGTTTGATTACAAAGAGATGCCACAAAAATATCAGCTGTATGAATTAATGTGTGAATTCAGTTAACCTGAGCAACAACTTTGCTGTATGCATGCCTGACTGATCTTAGATCACCAAGAGATGTCAGGATATCAGAGATTAAGTTATCTTTAGGTAGAAATGAAACTATCATGTCTTTTAATCTGTAAATTACAGCACTATATTAGCCAATCACTGATAAAGTTAAATAGTTGTGATGTTTTATGTATGATCACAAAGAAAGTACCTTTCAATATCTGTAAGAGAACTATTTGATGCTGAGATTGATGATGGCAAATCAAGAGCAGAGCAGCAAGTTAAGCAATTCCCAGGACCGGTCTTTTGCAATGTGTCTCCCTCAAGCAGAAAATAAGCCACGTCATGAATGTTTATTTTGCATTCTTGAAACTTCAAAAAATATAAGAATTAATGTTAAGCTAAAATTTATTAATACTAGTATCAGTAAAAATAACTAATATTAAAGAACATATAAAAAGGCTGGACAGCAGTTGGTGCAAGCTATAAATCACATACCAATGACAAAGAAAGCTTGCAACGATAAGATGCAGTAGAAACAAGCAAAGAGTCATCCTCAAGTTTTTCATAAGCCATGCCCACAACTGCACCAAGGCAGTTGGGCTTAGTGCACCGAAAAGAATTGATTACAAGGTCAGGGAAATTAAGCTCTGAACAGACAATGCAACAGCATTTGAAGAAGTACTGAGCTTCAAGCATATGTTGTCTTTCCTGATGACCCAATTCGCCAATCTAATTGACAGCATAGAAGATAAGGCCAAAGTGAAAAAACAGTGGATAATGCTTATCCTAAAAATAGGGAAATTTTCATACCTATTACAGAGTTCTTATGAATTTATATATCTCGCACCTGAACTTTCATATTTACATACATAGCACTTTGATGCTTTAAGCCTATTCATGAAAAGCTGTCTTTCACTTTTAAAAAGTAATAATACTACTATTTTTAATGTGATATTAAAGATTTGAGTGCTGTGTATATAAATGCCACAAACCAACCACCACCATCACCACCAAATAAAAAAGGTAGAGGCAGAAAGTAGTGTACCAAGAATCACTCAAAAGGCAAAAGGATTGCATTCTTTAAGATTTGTGTACTCAGCAATTTAGCTCAGTTCTGAATTACCTGTGGGCCGTAAGAGAGCTCAAGCGGATAGTGTGCTGGAACATGATCAGTGCAGCGTAGGTGAAGCGTGCGTGAAAGAAAATATGCATGGACATTTGGCTTGCATGAGTGATTAAATAAGCTTCCCATGGAATAAATGGCTTGTCCAACTCGAACCTGTGAGGTAAACAAGCGTATATGAAAATAAAAAATATATATATTAAAAATAAGCCTATACTACCCAAAAATATCAACAGTAAGTGTTAGGAACCATAGCATGTCAAACATGGGTTCCCACTTGCTAGAGACTGCTTCCGCAGTAATATTAAAAGAACAAACCGCCATAACACCACATCATAGCTGCCCATATTTTTAGGGTGTGTTTGTAATCAATTTTTTATTTTATGTTTTATGTTCTGTTCTTTTTAAAAGAAAAAACAGGAAAACGTGTTTGGTTATATGTTTTTTTTCTGTTTTATTATTTTGTTTATAAACAGATTACTTTTCATTTCTAAAAATACTAAAGCAAATAAAAATATTTTAAGTGTTTTTAAAACAGTTTTTTCGTAACGGCACACTATCGCCAACCCCAACCCCCAAGCCTTCTTACACCTAATTCAAATTTCTCGATTTTTTCTCCATCTTCCCCACTTTCAAGCAGCGTCGACGCCGATGCTGGAGCCTTCTCCAACGCAAACACAACTAGAAAATACATGCAAGTCACGATGCCTTACTAAACAAAAGTATATCCCTGCTTTGCACTTGGCCAATTGAAGGAAAAATGACCGCTTGTGATTTTTCTCTTTACTTCTTGAAAGCTCTTGAATATGAAGACAACCTTCAACTATTTAATCCGAATTCTGCATTTCATCATCATTCGACTCCTGCAACTATTTGGGGTTGGCTAAATCATAAATCTATGATCAATTTTTTGAGATGGTTATTCATCTGCATATTCCCTACCCGCAATCATACTCTTCTTAAGTTACAAGAAGGCTGAAAGTTCTTTTTTATACTTCTTGAGGGAACCTTTTCAAACCTATACTATCTTTTATTTGAAAAGTAAATTACTAAATTAACCTTATATTTTTCTATTGTTTGGAAACATTGGCAATAATAGGAATGAATTCTTCTTCTGCAAAGAAAAAGAATAACAAAATCACTTCCTTCTATTCTAGCACTTAAACCATCCCCATTAAATTTATCACATCACAGGATTAAGGATACATTAAGATAACAGCTCAAAGTTCTACAACATGGACAACTATTTTTGAAAAGATCATCAATTACCCATTTATCAATTAAGTTTTACCCCAGCCATTGATACTTGAGCTTAATCTTTTGGCTTCCTCTTCAGTTTATTGGGGTTGAGATAATCTGATGAAGTCCGCAAACCCTAGTTTAAGAAGCAAAAATACTCTTAAATGCCTTTCATATTTGTGTCGAACACCTGCGGGAAACAAATTAGCTCCGACATGCCCTAGCATATGTCTGACACTTTTGAATGACGTTGAAGTCATTTAAAAGTGAAAATAAATTACAAATTGGGTGAAAAACAATAGATACATTTATGCCACATAAAGACAAATAAATAAAGATGTACATATAGTGAAATAATTCTCATTCAAATATATCTCGTGGCCTAGTCATCTGCAATCATGTGCATCCCATGCCGGACCATCTCCGTTTCTTCTTTTACGACTATGAAGCATAGCAAACCAGCTACTCTCCCAGCACCATAAACGAAATTGTGTTCCATCTCTACCTCTTCTTCTACAACGAGACATAGCAATCATGCACATCATGTGACAAGTTCCAACCTATCTACCATGAAGATGAAAAGTAGTGGTCAGCGACTCTCGCTAATGACACAATTGGGAGCATCCTATGCCCTAGCCAACTCTGCCTCTTCTTTTAGGATGAAACAATGGAACTCTATTCAACTATCGCAAGCCCAAGTTGTTCCAAAATTTCAAAAACCAAATTGAAGAAGCATAATCCCAACCTGGTGTAATATTCCTGAATTTTTTTTTTCTTTACTTTGGTTATGAAAAAGATTAATTTCTTTATATAAATTTTTGATATGTTTGATTTTTTTTAAAAAAATTTTTTTGTTTGCTATGTTTGATATCATAATTTTGATATTCAAGCTTACTTAATTTGAAGTGTACTCGTCTATATGCATATTTATTACTAAGAAGCTTCTTATATGGTCGTTTGATTATAGCAATCTATTTCTAGCATGAATACTAACAAATTTTCTAACTTTTGTTTCTAAATTTTTTCTTTAAACATATCAATAAATACAATCAAATATATAAAAGTATAGTGGTGTACAGGATTTTCATAAAGTTGCATTTACATTTTCATCACTGCTATTTGCACTAGCCATGTTTATGTTTATCAATGTCATTTTTGTCAAAAATATTCTTCTTTGTTGCTAAAAGTGAGCAGTAATTATTATTATTTTTTTATTTCATAATAAGAGAGTGACCTGTAAAACAAACACTAATATAATTAATAAGAATTCTATATAGAGGATAATATAAATTATTAAAATAATATGAAGACCTTAAATGAGTGAAACAAATGCTTGGAGAGACCTTTTTTTTCAATTATTGAAAATAGATCAATGGTTAACTTGGAATTTGTCAACTTGTTTTGGTTTTAATAGTACTTTTACTGATTATGACTCTAACTTCTAAATACACTATGGATGAAAAGACTTAGTAGATGATTTGTGGTGTTAGTTCTCCACGACTATAAAATTGTTATCTCAATCATGTTCTTGTTATTGAAAAAAAAAAAAACATTCTTTTATCAATTCAAGAAAATGATAACTCCTCTGCAGTGTAAATATTTAACATATACCATATTAATTTGCATCTTTTGTCTAGGAGGAGCACAAAGTATACTCAAGGAGAAATTTAAGTTGCAAAACTTTAGTGTGGATGCATTAACAATAAGGGATGACAATGAAAAACTAGAAATTACTGATGTCTCTCTCAATGAATCATCTTTAAAGATTGTGTTGTTTCTAAATAAAGATGATGGCAGCATTAAAGAGAGAGAGGGTGATGGAGCAAATGATTGTCATAAATTTGAGTTTGTTAACTTTAATTAGTTCGATAGTTAACACTAATTAGTTATTTGGTTATATTTCATTTGATTATTTTGAAAAGGGATTTTATATTTACTTAAAGTTTTCTGATATTTTATAAACAAAATTGTCAATGACTAACATTAGATGGCTAAAAATGATTAATGAATGCACGTATAATAAAGCATTTCTTTTATTATTAATGATGACTTTTTCTTTTAACATTATAAAATTTCTTTTATGAAGTATACATATATTATATCATTCTTCACCCTACGATACTTAAACTAAGAAACATTATAAATTATATATTTTATATAAATTTATAAAAAATGATATTGTGCCATGGCATGTTATGTCATATTTTTTATAGTTGTCACATCTTTGTACCTGTGACGCATTCATGCTTCAAAGTTCTTAAGATGTTTTAATCAATGCAATCAAAATTTTGAAGGACCTGAATGCTAAAAAGATTTTGCTTTAAAGCACTGATGTTAAAGTATTTATTGTCTAGATCTCATATTTTGTCTAAACCATCCTAGCTTTAACACTATTGTTGATTAATGGAGAGATAAAGATGAAAATAAGGAATGAGAAAGCCTAATTCACTTAAACCACGATGAAGTCCTAAGTTAAAATTTAGAAATTTTAGATTATATCCTCCAAATTATGATGTCTGAGCCACCGAACAAAACTAAGGCTTGACTGAAGTCAACTTGAAGCCAAATCAGCTACGTATATGTAAAGGCATCTAAATGTTTCAAATAAATCCCTAAAAGTAGACAAAATGGAACAAAAGAGCGTCAGAAAGCCTACATACTCAACTGGACGATAAAGATACGAAATATATCGTTCAGATGAGTTCAAAGCTAACAAAAATTTTAAGTCAACTGTCTTGTTGTTGGGTTTCTTGCATTTCCCTTGTTGGCCAAATCAAAACCCAATATCCCAAAATAAGGTCAAAAGAAACAAAAGAGAACTAAGGAACGAACTCATAAATAAGAACAACAAGAATAGAGTTATGGAGGCTGCTGAAACACGATAAACATGATAAACATGTTTGCATCAATAAGGTATTGCTTGGTTGATCATCATACAAAACAAGGACGAACCGCTATTTTTCTTATAGGTTAAGGGAAATGATTCTTAATGCCAAAGTTCCTCATCATTTATCCACAGTTTCTTATTCTTCCTCAGAATGAAGTTAAGGCTATCATCCTTCAGAAGGGTTGAGCCGCAAAGGTAAAGTACATCAGAAATGTGTTGGCAGTTCGGGAAGCTGAATTGTGCTATTGATGTTATTCGCCAGTAAGGATAACATTTCACAACCAATTCGTTTGTGTGAAGTTGAAAGTTATGGAGGAGAAGAATAAAACATACCTGCTCAACTGTACAAGTGAAGGCGTTTCCAATTACAGAATGGTTTGTTGGTTTCTTGAACAAATCAGGCTCGTCAAACGATTTCATATGCACAACCGCCATAGCATTCACCTTAATTTGAGATATCAGCAAAACAAACTGCAATAAAAAATTGATGAAAGGTGACCTTTTATCAGGTATAACAAAAGTAATCGAAAGTATACAAGAAACCATTAATTCTTAACCAACTATTGACTTCCAGAAATGATCGTAACTTTCTGAGTGATAGCTGTTGGGTAGGAGTAACTAAAGCTTTTAAATGATGTCATAATACACTGAAAGAAAAGCTACTTACATAAAAATTCTACTGCATTTATAAAAAAAATCTTTAACTTATTATGTTTTATGCAGCAATTAATCCCCTTGTTTCTGAAGAACATAGCCCTTTCAATTTTTATTAAAAGACAAAATGGAAATCTAATATTTTTGTATGAAGACGCACAAGAAACTAGATTCAATTCTTGTTTGATAATTTATAAGCTTTCATCCATCTACAGGATTCGGTTTATCCCTCAGTTATTGCAGAAAATGCTTATGTGGGTTCCTTTCCTCTGCACCACTTCTTCCAGATGAAAAATAGGTGTGGCTAAAAATTTTTCCTTGATTGAAGTAGCTAATTAAATAACACCTCAAAAAATCCTACTTCCAGATATTAAATGAGAAGTAAAGCTATTGAAAAATAATCTCAATATCAGCAGTATATGGTTTATATAAATCACTTGTAGAAATTAATGTGTAAGCTCCTTTCATAAAAAAGAATATGGCATGTGGGCAAATCCCAATTCTACACCTCTAGTTATTCTCCCTCTCTCTCTTCCTTTCTCTCTCCATCCATCTATAAAAATTTTAAAAAAAACCACTTGCCTTCTTTTCATCCACAAGGGTAGCTTCGTAAAGTTGGGAAGAAGTACATCCACTAAGCAGCATTGGCATTCGAATTAATTTTAACATTTTAATTAAATAATATCGATCATAAAAACATGTTCTATTAGAATCTAAAGGCCTTCGTTTGAGTAGAACTAAAACTGAATACATGGAATGTAATTTTAGTAGTAGCAGCTCTAGTGACAGAATTTTGTAACTATGGGATGGGTGATCAAATTATTAAAAAATGTGACGCTTTAGATATCTCAAAGTGATGGTGATATAGATGGGGATGTTATTAGTAGAATTCAAGTTGGTTGGCCGAAGTGGACAAATGCTTCGGGCATATTGTGTGATAGTCTTTGACTGAATATTTTATAAGATGATGGTGAGACCTGCAATGCTCTATGGCGTTGAATGTTGGCCTTTAAAAGCATAAAACTAAGTTAAGTGTTGCCGAGATGAGAATGAATAGGTAGATGAGTGGCTTTATACTTAGAGACAAAATACGAAATGAATATATCCGTGATAGGGTTGGTGTAGCTCTATTGATGGACAAAATTAGAGAGAGCCATCTTAGATGATTTGGTCATATTAAACGTTGGCGATCTAATGATCTGATTAGGAGAGTAGATGTTTTAGAATCGACTTATGTTAACAAATGCAGCGGTAGACCTAAAAAGACTTGGGCATATTGTATAAAAAATGATCTTAATTTATTAGAATTAATTGAAAATATGACAGTCAATAGGACAGAATGGAGGTCAATAGGACAGAATGACAGTCAATAGGACAGAATGGAGAAAAAGTATTCATGTAGACGACCTCGCTTAGTGGGATAAAGGCTTGTTGTTGTTGTTCAAAAAAAAAAAAAATATGATAGACTACTATAATGAATTCAACATGGAGGATACAATACTATTGGAGTTGAGGCCAAAATAACAACAAAATCTTTATCCCACTAAGTGGGGCGGGCTTCATGATAAAAGTTTGTTGTTGTTGTTGTTGTTGGTCATGGAAACATGTTAGTGAAAGACCAAGTTTGTCACACCCAAACTAACCCCCCTAATAGGGTACATGGTGGTGCAACAGAGACTAGTAATTTGGTCAGACCAACTCTCACAAGCACTCATCCTGACGTTTAGTGGATGATGAATTAGTTTAAGTAGATCGCCGCAATACATGTGATACATTAAAATTTATAATTCATTTATATATATACGCGGAAGCATGGAAACCATATCATCCAAATTATGAAAATTATACAAAGCTTCAAAATCCAATATAATAAAACTACATACCCAAAACATATGTATAAGCTCGTATAAAAATGCACATGCTCATATAAAATTGTCAAGGCTAACATAAGATTTTATAAATAGAAAAGAAACGTCCATGCTTGTAAAAAATTGTACATGTCTTTTCACAAGTCATAAAATGCTAGTATAGTAGAAAACATAAGAAAAAAAGCAGGTAGTATAAAATATCAAGACTGCATTGTAACATGTAGATCGTAAGTAAAGCACCATAAGTATAATTAAAAACATGTTCAAAAGCATGTTCATGGGTTGTTTATCGTATGCAATCATAGCAATATCATTTCATAGAGGTTATTTAAGAGTAATGTTACTTATTTAATATATAAAGTTCAACTATTTTCATGGTCGTTCATCATGTGTCGTCACCTTGCCCCAAAAGTCTTGTAAACTATCGATAAAGACTGGCTTTTCCCCAACATATTAGTTATCAATAGCCCCTCGATACCCACGATTCTCTAAAAATTGTCACAGCTAATTCAAATGGGTCCTAGAGTTTCATCCCCGTATAAATATTAGGAGTCAGAAAAACTATATCTCTGTAGAATGTACATGTAAATACTTATGCAATAGTCTATTCATACATTCATTATGAAATTTAAATCATCATTATTGTATCAAACATTTATAAGGCATTACATATATGATAAGCATGAAACATAATAAATGAATACTTTACAGGGAATTCATATCATAAGTATAGTCATATGTTGCATAGTATGATCATAGTATTACATGTATCGTAAGAAAAGTAAGCATGAATTCATACATTCAATTGCATGTATTCATTAACAACATATAAAAATTCTAAATTCATCCGTATCAAAATAAAAATCATATGAAAAACTATTGAATTTTTTTTTAATTAACACAAGATTATTTCACCTGACTTGATGGGACAACCCTACGACAAGTGCCCCCACGCTCATCTTGAGGTCGACGCCTCGTATAGACAACCAAAGAATTCATAAGCATCGTAGGGATTCATAAAATTTAGACTCATAACATGCATTAACCCCAAAACAAAATTTATTAGCCTAAAACATGTCTCTAATGGACTTCTCAACATAAACTCGTTTTTCCAAAATCACCTATTTTCTCTCCAGCTCTTCCTAAAATCTTAATCATCACTTTTCCTTCGCTGATTTTGTGTTAAAACTCATATGAAAGCTTTCAAATTACTTTCGACGCTTCCAACACAAGTTCGACATCTCTGATGGCTATTGGAAACGAGAAAAACACGAAAAAAAAGGCAAATGTCAAAACAAAAGGCTGAGAAAGGAAATGAAAGTCTAAAATGACATGAGAGTGGGATTCGTGCTTATAAAAATTGTCCCAAAATCCTGGAACGTGCTATGTGGCTCCTAGGTGGCAGTTCGCTCTTACACTGTTTGCGCCTACTAAAAAGGGAGAGGGGGAATCGAGAGAGAAGGGAAGGAATTCGGGTAAGGAGGAAATTAAGAAGCTCACAAAAGCTGTATTCAATAAAACGAATGAAATAAAATGGCGTAAAGGTCAGTTATCCACAATGCTGTGAGATTAAGGGAGGGATTAGGAATTATAATTAAGGATTTAATTAAGCTAATTAAACTTATAACTTCAAATATCTCACAATTCGTAAATAAATCATGCATGGTACTTTATATGGAATTGCTCCATTTCATGCATAAAATTTTATAAAAACTTTTCGATCAAATTATGAGAGGAAAAAATTTGGGCACCTTTCAAATTTGCCAAATTTTTCATGTTTCATGAAATTTGGGTGTGTTGACCTCACTTTTGGTTGAGGTCTAGAAACTTCTTTAGTAGCCTAGGTCTAGCCATAGGACTTTCCTATTGACTAGTCTTAGAAAACTAGAAAAGGTACCCTCACCATTAGAAATTCAAAACTCTTCTCTTTACTCAACTTGAAATTCCACATATTGACCTTAACCTCTAGCATTTAGTAGGTAAGATCATTATGGGGGAAGTTCAAGAAGAGTTCCTATAGGGCTATTTAGCCTTAGGATTGACACTGGGTGTTGACTTGGAACTAGGGTACACCATATCTTCACAATACATTAGTCTATGACTCATTTAGAATGGATATCTATCCAATTCTATTTGAAATACCCAACTTGGCCTTTTGCCCCGAGGCACCTCTAAATTACATAACTATCCTTAGGATCCAAATTTGGCCAAAATTCCCAAATTTTGCCAAAATACCCAAAATTGATCAAAA